AAAACACATAAAACAAATGCAACAGAAAAATGCTGCAATCACTAGGGGGACCCGACCTGTGTCTGCAGCGTTTTGCCATTTGCGGCGCTTTTGCCCTTGTTGGCCAACGTACAAAACACTTAGGAAAAAGACGCTGGGTGCAGCGCTTTCTCTCTAGGTGGCCACATGCTTAGAAGAAAATGTATCTCTCCTTATTGGGAGCAACTGAAAAACGACGCTGGTGCAGAAACCACTTGAGTTTTAATGTCCCTATGCTGTTTCCTTTAGTGCCACCATCTGGACAAAGTTTACATGTACACAGTCCAGTCCAGTCGGGACAATAAGTTTTAACACCACTCTGACTGACTGTAGATCATTTTGCATCTCTTCTCAGTCTGCAACTGCTCAATGATGCAAATTTGTGTCTCTTAGTTGAACTCTGCAAAAGCAGCAGGCATGAGAATGTATTTCGCCTATGCAAGTGAATCCACTAATCGCAGCAATTCCAAATGAACTTATTTCACACCAGAATGCAGAGTCACAAACTAACCCAGTTGATTATTGACATTCTGGATAACAAAAGATTTTAGTGTCCCTGAGACACACAATTAGCACCGTATTGATTGTGTAGTTGCATCTTAAACCCATGTTCGAGCACTAATCTTCTATTCAGAAAAGGCATTAGGCGAGTTATCGTTGCTGAGGAATCTGTCTGTCATTACCCTCGGTGCATTCAGGATGCATAGCAAGAAGCTAATGGTCAGGATTCTGCAGGCATTCAGCTTTCTGGGTCTCAGAAATCTTTCTTTTGATGTAGCAGGGTAACCTCTACCAGATGCCCATTCGGGTCTCAGTCGAACAGTTCAACCATGCAGGAAAAATTACTGTAATCCACCTCCAACAAACACACACACACACACCGAAGCTGACCAACAAAAGCCATACACTGCAATGTTAAGTGTTTTAGTGATAAAAGTAAGAGTTTATAGCGCTAAGAGAAATATTCTCAGATGGCAGTGCTGATGTCAATACTGTTGTATTTCAAACACTGAGAACTCGTTTGTTTGTTCAGATATGATTTACGTCGAATCAAAAGAAACAGCCAAAGCCGTAGTGTGTTTACTGATCCAGCCGCAAATCAAACATTCAATCTGGTCATGCTGCTTCGGGAGGAGGGTGGGGGGTCGGCTTCTCTCTTTCTCCCAGTTAGTAACAGAGATCTGTGGATTTCTGTTTGTTTGTTGCCCTGGTTTCTTCCACTGCCCGTGTCATGGCAATCAAGGCTGGATACACCCAGAACAGGGGGAAACAGTGCCACCCTCCCCATCCTCCATCGGCGGCTTGCCGACCCTGTGTGTTTACGATGCGCTGTTTCCATATGACCTAATCTCAAACAAATTGGAAAGATGATTGTCATCTGCAGGGGGGCAGGAGCTGCATTATTCTCAACAATAACCTTCAGAAAACCTTTCAGGAGGAAAAAAGAAAAAAAATCAAGAAGCGGATTATTCAAAAGGCAATTTTCTCTCAGTTTCCAACCCACCCAGCTCGTTTGGTGGAGAAGCGTTGTGTGATGAAACATCTTATTTTGTTGTGTGAAATGGCGGAGGAGACTCAGAGGCACTACTCCCTCTCTCTCCTTCCCTTCTCTCTGGAGAATGAGTGTAATCAAACAGGGCAGATGAGGGATCTGAGGAGAACTGTGTGTATCAGCGATAAACAGAAGCGCAGTTTTAGAAAATACAGAAAGCAATAGGCCTCCTACCTACACACACACACGCACAAACCTCCAGTTAAATGTACAAGCAGGCAATGGAAATCAAAAGGTACATGTGCAAAACATAATATATGGTTAAAAGTATGTGGACGGGAGCTGCTACCCCTGCTTTGGTCTGGGTCCCTTAGTTCCCTGGAACTCAACACATAATGCTTCAGCATACAGTGCTTTCATCAGTTTGGGGAAGGCCTTTTCCTGTTTAAACCTGATAATGACCTGTCCTCAACCCCATCCAACACCTTTGCTATGAACCAGAACGCCAAATGCAAACAGACTTGATACCCAATATCA